AAAACGAAATCTAACCTCCAAATGTTAAAGCAGCTTTGCTTAGTAGTTTCTTCAGCATCTTCCGTCTATACCTGTAAATTTTAACTTTGAGGTTGTTTATTTTATTTTATTATTAAAAGGAAGTATAAAATGATGATAATGGGACTAGGGACAGAAGACAGAAAATTAATAATGTTAAAATAGTTTCAATAATGAATACCAAAAACAGCTTTTAGAAAAACATTTACAGCACAGGAAAGCAAACCTAAAATCAATGGCATCTGACGTGAGCCATGATGAAATTATGCATTAAGAAAAATGCACATAGAAAAACATGAAGATATAATTGGATCAGTCATGTGTTAAAGTAGCAGTATCAGATTTCCAGATAATAAGGGGTGACTACTTCTATGCTAAAAAGGGTATTTAGCCATATAAACAAATGCTGTGTTTCTACTGTAAGGAAATATGTGTACCAATGAAGCAACCTTTTCAACATAAAAGTAATTTAATACCCAAACTGAATGAAAAGTGATCTCTACGGGAATGCACAGCTACTAAAATCCAAGTCAGTTTTTATTAAAATCATCAAGTCTGTTTATGTAAAAGAGGGCTCTTTTAAACTGACCACAAAGAGGAAATTGTTGATAACAAAAACTGATACCTGCATTTTGTTTCATGGTTTCTCTTGTTCCCTCGTACATTGTCAGTATCTCTAGTTGTAGGGTACATCAACGGCGCCAATAGCCTCCATTAGCCTTTGGACCAGGCATGGAGAAGTTGGCTCCAAGCTTCCAGAAGGGGATGGAGCAAAGGCGGATGGGGTTGGGGCCATGGGCAGCCAGCCCATAGCACTGGCCCAGTATGTGGTACCTCCCTTCCACCCTCCGAATCCAAGAACACTACAACTGGAAGGGACCTTGAGAGGTAATCAAATCCAGTCCCTTGCCCTCATGGCAGGACCAAGCAGAGTCTAGATCAGGAGTAGGTAAAAGGGCCTCCGTAAGCTGGATCCGGCCCGCCAAGCCAGTGGACCCAGCCCACGGAGGCCCTGCCGCTGCCCAGCCCCCAGGTACTAATTGGCCTGGAGTCTGGGGAGCATGCAAAGCCTCCCCCTACCCTGCCAGGAGTACGTGGCGCTTTTAAGCACTGCGCACTGCTGGCAGAGCGGAGAAGGCTTCACGTGCTCCCCTCGCCATGCCAGGTGCTCGTGGTGCTTTTAAGTGCCTCGCGCTGCTCGCAGGGCGGGGGCAGAGTGGAGAAGGCTTTGCGTGCTCCCCTGTCCCCAGGCCCTAATTGGCCTGAGAGCAGGGGAGCACGGGAAGTCTCCTCCCATGCCAGAGGCATGGGCACCTAGGGAGAATATGGGGGGCAAAGTCACTCACCCCCAGACCAATCACTGTTTGGGTGTTAGGAACCTGAAAGCATCTTGGCCCCACTCCTTCCACTTGATGCCCTGCCTCTTCCTGTGTGGCCTGGGGCCACCTGAAAAATTTCCGAAGTGGCCCCCGGCAAAAAATTATTGCCCACACCTGGGTCTAGATCACCCCTGATAAATATTTAAGAGCATGTTGGATAGACATCTACAGCGAAGGAGATTCCACACCTCCCTAGGCAATTTATTCCAGTGTTTAACCACCCTGAGAGTTAAGAAGTTTTTCCTAATGCCTTGCTGCAATTTAAGCCCATTGCTTCTTGGCCTATCAGCAGCAGCCAAGGAGAGCAATTTTCTTCCCCTCCTTCTTGTAACACCCTTTTAGATACAGTAATTGTAAACTGCTATCATGTCCCCTCTCAATCTTCTCTTTTCTAAACTAAACTAAACAAGCCAATTCTTTCCCTGTTCCCTTATGTTTTCTAGACCTTTAATTGTTTTTGTTGCTCTCCTCCAATTTCTCCACATCTTTCTTGAAATGTGGTGCCCAGAACTGCACACAATACTTCAAATGAGCCTAATCAGCACAGAGTAGACCAGAAGAACTACTTCTCATGCCTTGCTCACAACACACCTGTTAATGCATCCCAGAGTCATGTTTGCTTTTTTTGCAACAGTGTCATACTCAGGGCTTGACGAATCGCGGTGAAAGCCGTTCACCAGCCCGCACTGTGCATGCGCAAGAGCTGCATTGCGCATGTACGTGCCACTGGTAAACGGGGCGCCGGGCTGAAATCTACTCGCCATGGGTGAGTAGATTCAATAGATTGTTGAGCCCTGGTCATACTGTTCACTCATATTTAGCTTGTGGTCCATTATGACCCCTAAATCTCTTTCTGCAGTACTCCTTCCTATAGTTGCTACCCATTCAGTATGTCTGAAACGGATTGTTCCTTCCTAAGTGGAGTACTTTCTATTTGTTCTTATTAAACTTCAAGCTATTGACCTCAGACCATTTCTCTAGCTTGTCCAGATCATTTTGAATTTTAACCCTATCCTCCAAAGCACTTGCAACCCCTCCCAACTTGGTAACATCTGCAAACTTAATAAGTGTACTCTCTATGCCATCATCTAACTCATTGATGAAGATATTGAACAGAACCAGCCCCAAAACAGACACCTGCAGAACCCGAGTTATGCCATGCCCCTCCAGCATGACTGTGAACCATTAATAACTACTCTCAGAGTTATGCGGAGTCCAGCCAGTTATGCACTCACCATACAGTTGTCCCATCTAGGTTGTATTTCTCTAGTTTATTGATAAGACGGTCGTATCAAATGCTTTGCTAAAGTCTAGGTATTGTGACAGACTCAGGCTCGTTGCCTGTCACACACTAATGGAGGGCAGGTATGCAGGGTGCTGGATAAATAGTTTTATATTCTCTGAATGAACACCCAGAGTGTACTGCCCCATAATTAAGGCAGGCAGGCAACCTGAGGCTAATTAATAGCTAGCCTGAAGGAGCAGGCTAATCAAGCACCTGCAGCCAATAGAAGCCTGAAGTGTTGCTTTAAAAGGTTTCCCCCAGGTAAGGAAAGAGGAGAGGGACAGACCAAGAGGAAGAAATGTGTTTGCAGAGACATTTGTAGGTACCAGAAAAGGCAGTAGGGGGAGCATTTCGGGAAGTAGCCCAGGGAAAAGGCTGCTGTCTCAGGGCTAGAGTGAAAACCTGAGCAGTTGCTGCTGTCTAGGATCCCTGGGCCAGAACCCAGAGTAGTGGGTAGGTGAGCCCAAGTTCTCCCCAACCTCCCCACACCACAGAAAGAACTAATTTTGGGAGAAGGAGGTCTAGGAGTATGGAGGGATCTCCCCCCTCTCCATTCACTGACTTTGCCAACGATGAAAATGGCTCAGTAAGATGTAACTCTGATCTCTAGAGAAACACAAAAGGCCGCGTATAGGGTCATAGCAAGCCTCTGAGGTATACAGTAACTGCCTAAGGAGCACAGGACCCATGGGGCACAGCCAGAACTTTGCCACAGTATACCCACATCCACCACTTTTCCCTTATCCACAAGACTTTTGTTATCCTATCAAAGAAAGCTATCAGCTTGGTTTGACATGACTGGTCCTTTACAAATACCTGCCAGCTATTACCTATCACCTTATCTTCCAGAGATGTACAGATGAAATCCTTAATTACTTGCTCCGTTATCGTCTCGCACAAGGCACCCCCTCATGGCACTCCACCAGCAATTTAAAGAGCCCACTCACCCCCAAACCGTTTTGAATTCCTGGGCAATTGCCCCCTTTACCTTTCCCTGTCAGTGGGCCTGTGACAGATGAACAGGAGATGAAAAAGCTACTTAGGTGGACAAATTTAGAACAAAATATCAGATTCCATATTTTCAAAACAAATAAGATAATCTGATTCTCTTTCTTTTATAAAGCAAACTCCTAGAATTACCCATAGAATACCTCTGCAAAAACATACTAGAAGAGAAAATGACTTTTTTTAAAACTACCACTGTATTGCTTAAACGCTCAAGGGAACAGAGATGTGCTCTCAACAGAACAACAAGTTTTTAAATCTAGCACTGGAGTTTCTGAAGAGAATATACACATTAAAAAGTTCTTGAGAACCTCACTAACATATCAGCTACCCTAAAGGAGCGAGTAATATACTGCATCAACAGAAGCTTCTGCAAGACAGAACTCTAAATCTTGAAAAGAAAAAAAATCCACAGCCTCTCAAGACCTTGTAATATATTTCTGGAATATGAAGAATTAGTTTAGCGTAGAGAATGGAAATAAATTCCTGTAGCAAGTCTCAGTACACAAAACTTGACTGAATTAATAGCATTTCCATGGTATGCCAAATTTTGACATGAATCATTGACTTTTCATATTGAGATATCCCAGTCAAGATCCCTAGGACTTACACTTCAGCCTCAGAAATGTTGCCAAATAAAGATTTTAAGCATATAATATAGGGAAACAATCCAACAAAGAGGAGGCCTTACACAGACACATGAATAGTCTGGACCAGTGTTCCAGTAAAGTTCAACTCAGAATCATAGCAACTGATGTAATCCATTAGTCAAGTCAGGATGCATGAAAACTAAGCAGTCTATTCAATATTACAGTTATAAAAGGTAATTTTTACTTCACCCTACGTGTAAATCTTTATCAAGAAACACCAGCAAAATAGACAAAATTACCTAATTGTGAAAGATTCCCAGTGTAAGAGCACTAAAAAGAGGCAGAAAGAGACCTCATAAATCATTTTTCAAATAATTAAAAAATACCCTTCTTTATCTGTACAGTTAAAGTATTTCAAAATGTCTTTGAGATTAACCGTACAGCATCATGTTGTTCTAGGTGTTTGTTCACTGAAGTTCAAAGGGAAAAGCCCTGTTCTATTGGCTTCCTAACATTGCTCAGAATCTATTTTTTTATATTTCACCATGAAACACTCATGTAGAGAGACAGCAGCAACTGACTTGTCAGCTCTATGTAACCCAAGGAAAATCAGAAAATAGTTAGGGAGGGGGAATCAGACCTAAGATACCACATGACCGGGTGGTAAAAAAGTACACAAACCATTGTGCATTCAGAAATAAAATACAAGCAACCCAGACTTACTTTGGGAGAGCAGGCTGTGCACTTATCAAATGCAAGGCTGACAGGAAGGACATTATCAAATCTTGATAAAAAGCCACGAATCTGGAAAGAAATAAAATGTACATTCATATCACATAATTATACCAAGTGTAATTTCCAAAATTCAAGCTGAGTTAGACATATTCAGCCAAGGGATGAACAAAATCCTCTACCTCTGCAAAATCAGGATAATGCTAATTTAATGGCCTCAATAGTCCATTCTATTAAATCTGTACTGGTATAATACACAAATTGCTTGATTTTTCTACAGGAACATGTAAAGATAGGACAACATAAGCACAATATTATTTACATTAATGGAAGCACAGCACCACCTGCAGTTTGATCTTTTTGACTGCAATCAGTTAACATCAATAAAATAAAAAGCCATGTCATAAGAAAAGGTTACTCACCTTTGCAACTGTTGTTCTTCAAAATGTGTTGCTCATAGCTATTCAAATTAGATGTGTGCACTACATGCACAACTTTTGGAAAAATGTTCCCTAGCTGCTACCTGTTGGGTTGGCTGTGGAACCCCTGGAGTGGTGCTGGTGCGACACCCTATTACCCTGCTGACTGAACCACTTCTCAATTCCTTCTTGCTGTCTCTTCCAACAGTGGGCAAGGAAGGGTGGGTACAGAATAGCTATGAGCAACACATCTTGAAGAACAACATTTACAAAGCGAGTAACCGTTTTTTCTTCTTCTAGTGCTTGCTTATATGTATTCCAATTAGCTGTGTAGGTGCCACGTTCACAACTGTCAAAAAGTCTTTTCCTAGCTACTATCCTTTGGGTTGGCTGTGGAGCACCCTGGACGGGGACTGGAATCATAGTCTAATTGACTTGAGAACCATGGTACCAAAAGCCGTGTCCTGCCTTGACTGTTGCATGATGATGTATGTTGTGGGGCATTACCCTTGTCCTTCTCCCGGGGGGCTGCGGTCCCTGGGCTTCTTGGGACCATGACCAACCCCACATATCCTGCAACACAACTGTGGTGATACACCCACACCCCTCCCACCAGTGCCATGTGTCCTAGCAGCCAAAGACCACAGTAAAAACCCCACTCACCAGGGCAGGGCGATCTAACAGCCGGAGTATCTAGGAAAAGTCCCTCTCACCAGTGTGACCTAGCAGCTGGAGTCTCTAGTCAACGCCCCTCTCACTGGAGCAGTGCGGCTGAGCAGCAGGAGTCAATAATAAATGGGTGCTGGCCCTACTCCTCCGGGTCCCAGCCCAGGGCCCTATTAGCAGGGCATGGTCCACTGTTCTCTCAGCGGGGAATCCTACCAGGCTACTTCCTACCATTCTCTGCTGTATTCTCTCCAGGGTCCTTCCTCCAGATCCTCTATAGTGCAGATGTCTAGCTGGCTGGTTTCCAGATCCAGTCCCTCTGGTGGTTCATCTGCAGGAGCTCGGGCAGTACTTCCTTCCACCTCAGCAGCCAGCCCAGACTGAGTCTCCCTACAGGCTTTTATACCTGGGCTGTAGACTGAGCATACCCAGCAGAGCTGCAGGGGCAGGGCTTCTTCAGCCAGGTGAGCCTGGTTAGGCTCAGTTTTCCCAGTCATGGGCTGGTACACCTCGTAACAGCATAGTGTGATGTCAAGATATGTACCGACGACCAAGTTGTGGCTCTGCAGATTTCCTGGATGGGTATATGAGCCAAGAATCTTGATGATGATGCCTGTGCTCAGTAAGCCATGGTGGAAAGACCTTTGCCAGGTCATAAAACGTGTGGATGCACATGGTGATCCAGGAGAATATACACTGCAATGAGACTGGCTGTCCCTTCACCCAATCAGCAACTGCGATGAACATTTGCAATATTTTATGAAAAAGTTTGGTCCTTTCGATGCAAAATGCTAGTGCACGTCTCACATCATGGAACTGCAGGCATTATTCCCAGGCATTCTGATGAGGCTTACAGTAGAACATGGGAAGAAAGATATTTTGCCCAGTGTGGAAACTGGAAATCACCTTTGGGAGAAAAGCCAGGTGATGGCAAAGCCACACCTGGTCTTTGTGAAAGACTGTGTACAGTGGCTCCAAAGTTTGGAGCCCCCGCAAGCCAAGGTGATGGTAACTAGAAAAGCCACCTTCTAGGACAGGTAGAGTAGAGAACACATAGCTAATAACTCAAATGGTGGACCTGGGAGGGTAGCGAAGATAAGGCTGAGGTCCCAAATGGGATTAGGATGAGAGGCTGAAGGGTGGAGCCTATCCATCCTCTTCAGAAAGCACCATACCAGGACTTTGAGAAAACTGCATGGCCTGCTTCTCCTGAGTGAAAAAAGATGTCCACTGGATGCACATGGAGCAAAGAGGTCACCCACCAGACCTTGCTGCTTCAGAGACATGAGGTAGTCAAGCACTTGCAAAATGGAGGTAGAAAGAGGGTCCAAGATGTGCTGCAGGCACTGGAACAAGAACTGTCTCCACTTTGCCAGGTACATGAATCTGGTACAAGATTTCCAACTATGGAGGAGAACCCGCTCAGTCAGGTTCTGCCACAGAGCTGCCATCCTGTGAGGTGGAGCCTAGGATCCTGTGTGAGCCCTGGAGCATTGGCATGCTCCAAGTCCCAGAGGACCCTGAGCCTCCTGATACAACACTTAATTGGCTAACGATTAACTATTATTAAACAAATCAACTACCTAGTTAGTTAGAATGGAGCTTTTGCAATGCAAGAGAACCAAAGTTCTAACAGCCATCATTGGCTGTAAGAAGGAACTGAGAAGTGGCTGGGCTGTTAATCAACTATTTGGACACTGGGATTCTTTGTATACAACTATTATTTCTCTACTATTTACTTAGTTTGCTTTCCCTGCTGAAGATTTAGCAATTAGACTGAAAGCTCTCTAGAACAGAGACCATCTTTTTATTCTGTGTTTATACAGTGCCTGAGACAATGTGTTTGTAGGTTGGTGACTGAGATTTCTAGGTGCCATTGCTATACAACTAATATACAACTAATAAAATACATTAAAATAATAATGACTGAGTCAAAGTTTTAGACAAGTTCTAACATCATTCTTATCATTCTGCAACATATTCTTCTCTCTCGAGAAACACAAAATATTGTTTGTGAGGCTGCATGACTTATTACATAATTCCATTTATTTTTAAACTGCCACAGAGTCTACATTTTCATATTTGAAAAATGCTGTATCTATAGATATCAGGTGAAATCTGAGTCCCATTGTAGTTCGTGACAATACAACGTGTAGCCAGAATCTCACTCATGTTTTTAAAAAGATAGCCTTCAGCATAAGATCTGAATATAGACTAATGACATAAATGGTAATGTTAAACTGTCAGCAGACAATTTAAAACAATAGCCCTCTGAGATGAGAACTACCCCATTCATCATAGTGGGTATTATGATGGCAATTTAAATGTCATTAACCGTTTCACTATTGACAATTTTAAAAGAAACATACCTATTTTTCAGTGGCAGGTTGCAGAGGGTAGTTAGGTATTTCAGAAGGTCATCAGAATGGAGAACAGGGAATTCAAGCCCTCCCATTCCCAAAATTAAGTCAAGTCTGTTCCAGTCCCAAAGCAGGAGAGAATGGGTCTCTTCTTTCGTTCTCCAGTGCCAAAAGCCTCAGTTTGTTGTCCCCAATAGAGAAAAACAGTTTCCACACTATTTCTGCTTCCTTTACCAGGCTGTCAAAGCCTCCAATTTTACCCAATGTCTTCTGCAGTGATGAGGGAGGAAGAATGCCCCTGATGGCCAGGGGCAAGGTGGGGAGCTGGCAGGGAGAGAAAATATCCCTGATGGCTGGGGGGAAGGGTTGGAGGGGAAAGAAAACATCCCTGGTTGCTGGGAGGGTCTGGGGGGAGATAAAATGTCCCTGGCAGCTGGGAGGCGAGGGGGGGAGGAAGAGAGGAAGGGGAGCTGGAAAGAGAGAAAAGGCATATGCCAGATGGGACCCTCCCACTCTGAGCTCCATAACCCTCATTCTCATACTCCCCTCCTACACATCCCCAAAGCCCTGGGCCGTGAGCCCGATCCAGCATCTTGGCAGGCTGGATTTGGCCTGCAGATTGTATTTTGCATGGCCCTGTATTAGATCATTCCAATACCCAAGTAGAAGAGAGGATTATCTCTAACACTAACTTCCTTGCTTTAGAATGTGTCCCAACATTATAGTAAGATAATTCTAATTATTGAACATGTTCTACAGTGCATTAATATATACACATTATTACCTTACCCCATTTCTACTCTGGTATCTCTGAAGGTCATTCCTACTATAGGGTATGTCTACACTGCATCCCTAGTTCGAACTAGGGATGCAGTGTAGACATACCCTATAGTAGGAATGACCTTCAGAGATACCAGAGTAGAAATGGGGTAAGGTAATAATGTGTATATATTAATGCACTGTAGAACATGTTCAATAATTAGAATTATCTTACTATAATGTTGGGACACATTCTAAAGCAAGGAAGTTAGTGATGACAGACCAGACTGACAGAACAATTCTTCCATGGACCAAACCTTTCTACAGTGGGAGTTAAGCCAACCTAACAACCTTGTTCAGAGGTGTGGATTTTTCACAGCTCTGAGGGTACATCTACACTAGTCCCCTAGATCGATCTAGGGAGGCTAATGAGGGCGCCCAAAATTGCAAACGAAACGCGGGATTTAAATGTCCCGCGCTTGATTTGCATGTTCCTGGCCAGTCGCCATTCTAGAAATTGACTAGCTCGAAGTACTTAAGTTGAGCCCCTCCCGCCTTACGCCTCAGTTCTTTCTCTACCCCGAAATGATGGCTTGAGAAGGCCAGGATCCCGAAGTAGAAGGAAGGAAGGGAAGGTTGTGGAGCACCCACAGGGACACTCATCTCGAAGAACATCAGTTACTATCGAGGGGGGAGGAGGAACAGCCTGACGTCAGCCCTCCCACACCCTGCACAACAAGCAGGAGGCTTCCAAGGGGCAGCTCCAAGGCAAGACGACAGGAACAGCATGACAGTGGGTGGAGGGGCAACTGAAGTGTCAGCACTTGAGAGCTTCTTGGCCAAACCAGCCAGGATCACTTGTCAGAGGCTCCAAGATCTACCAGTATATCCCCATCTACTGGTTGGTGACCACTGGACTAGAATCTTGCCTAAGCAAGATAGCTAGGAGTTCCAATGCCATCACAGACAGTAAGAAGGAACCGAGGGAGGGGTAGGGTTGGCAGTGGTATTGAAGGGTGATATAGCAGCGGCACTGTAGGGGTTCTCCACAGATGACCCTACGGGAGCTGCTAGGGAAATAAGTTTCTGACACTTGTATATGCAATGCATGCACACCTGATTGGAATCAATGTGAACAAGCACTTGAAGAAGTATATGTTTTCATGTTGAGAAATGAACACCTGTACAGTAAAAAGAAAGAAGTTGTGCTTTGGCTATTGCTTCTGCTTATCCCAAAAGGAAAACAATCCTCACTGGATAGATACAGAAATCATTATTTATTTGCATTCAATTCAGATTTAATATATGCTATGCTAGGAGACTGATACAAAACCATCCGTGGAGAAAGTCATTCATTTCAATTAATCTCCTCAAATTTCCATCATTATGGAATAGGAAGTAAGAATATCTTTAATCGCTTAAGATATATAAACTTAATTAAATATATATTTTAATATAGATCATTCCCTTTAATTCTCTGGATGTTACAAAACACCCAGATAAACAGCCAATTTTATCTTCTCTTTTTTGGGACACAGAACTAAAGTCTAGTTAGTCTTGATTTTAAAACGTATGAATACCCCAAATGCTGCTGAAATATATGATATAACACTTTATTAATGTCATTCAGGATACCACACAATCTCAATTAGCCAAAGTTCTCAGAGGGACACTGGAAATTGTTGAATAAACAGGATATTGGACAAAAGAGGAAGGCAGGCTATCACCTTGGAAATCCTGTGCTTTAAGTCCCCAGAAGTGAATCTCAGTCTACAGGGGTGAATAGACCAGGTTGATAGACTGGTAGCTAGTTTGGCAGAGGGATATCAAGCTTTGCAAAAGATTGGACTATGAGTCTTCAAGCTCTAAAAAGCAGTAAGTGAAAATCCAGAAGATTTCTCTACAGAAGTAGAACATACAGGACGCTGCTGAGGAATTTATAATATTGGGGAGATTGCAATTGAAGCAGGTTATGCTATTCCACATATACTCAAATATTCTGAAGAACATTATGGCAAGTGAAATATTATATCCCTGATTTTGTTTG